GTAAATGTACATTTGCTAAATGCGGTAGCATGAACGCTCTTCGAAAACATATGTTCGAAAGTGCTAAATGTTGCATTTTAAATGCAGCAAAAACGCTGCATTAGAGTTTTGACACTCCCTTACAAAAGGTTACATACACAAACACAGTCACAGTGACTTGTTAAGGGAGCCGATTTTGTCAAAAGGGGACGAGAAAACTGTTTTCTGAGCACACCTTTTATTATTGAATCAAGGGCATGGCCCGCCTTTTTACTGGTTTTAGGGCCAGTTTTTCAGTGCCAGTTTAAAACATTTTCATTTGCACGAAAACTTCGTGGCGGCAACATTATTGATGTTATATTATAAAAGCAAAAATTTAGCTGTTTTTTTTTGTTGAAATCATTTTTTATTATGTACTTGGATGTGAAATAGCATATTTTCTAAATTTTTTAAGCGTTTAAATCTTGCAAAAACATTTGTTACAAGCCATTTTACAAATGGTTTTATTAAGATAAAATAATTATTACAAGTTCTCTGCCTCTCCTTTACTCGTCGCTCTCTTCTCTATCTACAACAGACATCGTGTTGCCGCAACAAAAGTTGTCGTGTGTAAATGAGCACTTACGGACCAATTTCCGTTAATTTGTGAACGTTAATTTTTAAAAGCGAAATACACCACACAAGCAGCTTGTCGAACATGTTTTTCTTTTTATTTACATTTAGGGGATTCCGTTAAACTCGTAAAGTCCTAAACTGTGTAAACTCGTAAGTTTACGAGACTGTTACGGGAAGGCCGCCCTTATGCGAATGTGTAAACAGGTCCGCAAAGTGACTGTTTGACAGGTTGAGAAGGGTTTTGCGAAAATATTCCTTTTTCGTAGAATTTTTTACAACATCCCGCCAGCTCGAATGAGAGCTAAAATCAGAGAACGTTTATAAACGACGTTTATTTATTTTTACTTATTATTTTTAATAATGAATACCAATAGGCGTATTTTATTCAAACATCACTAGCTAATAGCTAAACCTTGGTCAAATAAAACGAAATTAGCTTATTTCCTATGTTAGATTTTTTTTTGTGCGAATGTCTGCTTCATGATATATTGAGCATATGGTTTATGCAGCGTTTTTGCTGCATTTAAAATGCAACATTTAGCACTTTCGAACATATATTTTCGAAGAGCGTTCATGCTACCGCATTTAGCAAATGTACATTTAC